TCGTGAGTGATGCTGCTGGGACATGCATGTGCCATGTCTGTTCTGGGTCCTGCTCTCACTTGTGTTTGCCCGGCAGCGGGTAGTTGGATCTTGTTGGTTGTGTGTTTGTTGTTGTCAGTCTCCCCGTGTTGTCGTCCTGTGATGGCTCCGGCTGTGCCCTGGGCAGTGCGGACAGGTGGCCTGTTCTCCGAGTCCTTCCTGTCTACTGTTTCTACTTTATTAAAATCATGTCCTTCTTAGTACGTATAAAGTTGCACCTCAGTAAGCTTTTGATTTGCTTTTGTTGAGCCTCTTTTATATGCCTTTGAGTCATTTGTGTATCTTATTTGCAAAACTGTATTTAAGTCCTTTTCCTGTTTTTTTTTAAAGAGTTTTTTTTTTTAAAGATTTATTTATTTTTATTTATACAAGCACTAGGTACAGTCAGAGGTGCGGGAGGGTGAGAGAATTCACCAGAGCCAGAGCGGGGAGCAGAGCAGGCAGAAGGACCGAAGTACACTGCTGAGGGGAACAGCGGGCCACAGGAGAGGTCTGCGCGCCATGTGGGACCCTCCTCCGGTGGCCGGGGAGCAGCCGGGGATCGAACCGGCACTGCAGAGGCTGTGGGCAGCTTTGCAGCCCAGCGCTCAACCGCTGTGCCACCAGGGAAGGCCCTTTTTATGCAGTTTTAGTTTCACAGTGCAGCTCAGCAGCAGGTAGAGTGGTTTCCTCTATATTCCTTTCTCTCTCTCTCTCTCTCTCTCTCTCTCTCTCTCTCTCTCTCTCTCTCTGTTTCTCCCCATTAGTAAAATGACTGGGTGAGAGGGCATTTGCTCCCTTATCCCCCACAGCCCTAGTTTCCTTTGGTCCACTCTTGGCTTGCATGTCATGAACTGGAGAAAGATGTCCCAGGGTGGCCCCACTGTCCTCTCACAGAAAAGTGTCCTGCCCTGAATCCTGTTCCCTGATCATCCTTCCCCACCTCTTTCCTCAGTGTTTTCCTGTCTTCATAGGTTTCCTGTTGTCCAGGGTCATAGAGTTACCATCCTGGGTTAGGCAGCCCCTTGGGGTGGGAGTCTCTCACCGAGTAAAGTACCCTCTGCTTCCTCCCTGTGTGGTTCTGCCCCTGAACCCATTTCTCCTCAGCTCTGACAAAAACTCCATTGTCTGGGGAGCACAGCCCTCCCTCATGCCAGAGGAAGACACATTGGTCACACTGTTAGAAGTCTCCTGGCTGGTTTTGGGCAGACGTGATTTTCAGCTCCTTCAGGGGATACAGGAGTGTGGGCTCCAGGCCACGTGGGGACAGCATGTTTTCTGGGAGACAGGCCCGGGGTCCTCTGAGGCTGGGCATGTGGTGGGTAGTTTGTCCTCGCACAAGAGCACTACACCTGATGTGTCTCCCCTCACTGCTCATGCTTGACAGCCCCAGGGGTATCTTTCTGTCTCACTGGTCATGGGTGGGCTCTGGGTCCCATAGCACAGGCCCCTCTGGACAGTTGAGTCCACTCATTAGGAGGAAAGGATGTCCTGAGCAAACTCCATACAGGCTTTGTGGATGCCACCCCCACTCCATCAAGACACTGGGAACTACAAATCCCATGATCCCCAAAGAGAAGGCTGCGAGGACCTAAGGGCAGAGTTAAGCAGCCATTTTCTCTGTTTGTGAATATAACCAGCCATGTTAGTGGGGTCTGAGGCACTTGGCTCATGCTCTTGGCCAGGCAGGTTTGGTCTCGGTGGGTCATTTGGGATTCCAGGTCAGCAGAATAGGTAGGACACATTGAAGAATTTATCTCCCTCTTTTCTCCCTAAATTGTACATTTCCTCATTCCCCTTCCCTTGTAAATAAACCTTCATTAACCTTTTGTGTGTGCCTGCAGTGTCATTCCCTTTTAAGCATGCGGGTGAGGACCCACAGTCAGACAACCCATTTTAGAGCAGGTTTGCCCTGTAACACACACTGAACCGTGGTTGTGCTGCTGTCTTACATCTGCGTCACTGCGTGCTGCGGCGTCAGTTTCTTTCTTCAGACTATTGTCCACTTCGGGTAAATCAAGAGAGAACCTTGTGTGCACAATCTTCTCTGTTTTCACAGATGTTCAGCTTTCCCAGGGACTCCAATTCCTTCCCCGTCAGGCCCCAGGCGTCCTGTCTTGGCTGGAGACTGCCATGAGCACAGAGTCATCTCCTCACTGTGGGCTGGATGTGTCTTGTCTTTATCCCCTCCTCATCTTTCAGCCCAGCTTCCTGGATTCTGATTCCCACAGTGAAGAAGGTTCCTTCAGCCTTTGAGGTGTCTCCCCCATATCGAGGAGCCCCTATCCTCCATCCTGGCTCTCACTGCTCTCTCTCCAGTCTCTCGTGCCTGCCCTGTGTGTGGCTACAGTGAGCCTGGGTTCGGAGCCTGTGTTCTGACTGGGTATGAGTCAGTGGGTTTATGAACATGTGAACATGATCTAAATTTGCTCATTTTTTTTAATTATTTTTCCCTTTTTTATTTTATATATTTTTTACATAATTTTCATTTTTGCACAATGTATGCATTTTCATCTTGGTTATAGTCCCCACACAATTCCCACCCCCCTTGTTTTGATCCTACTCCCTCCTCCTCCCCCCTGTAGTATGTCTCTAGTTTATAGTTGCTTGTTGATTTTGATTTTTACTTTATTATAATTAGTCTTTTCCCTGGTCCCTTATTTACATTTCCAACATATACACAATGGAATATTATTCAGCAATCAAAAAAGATAAACTCATGCAATTTGCAGCATCATGGATGGAGCTAGAAGGGATCATGCTCAGCAAAATAAGCCAGAAAGAAAAAGAAAAATACCAGATGGTCTCACTCATAGCAGGAATTTAAATTTGCTCACTTTTAGCCACTGTTTCTGAAAGCGCTGTTTTAGTGTCCATTTCCTCTAGATCTCCAGTTCTGTGGATGTTCCACTGTTCTCTGTACTGTCCTCAGCTTCTTCCCTTCTCCTTGGCATTTTTTTTTTTCTCATAAAGACTGGAAAATATCCATGTCCCATCCACATCAGCGACTTTCTTTGCTGTTTGAGAGCCTGACGTTCAGCCACCCAGAGGATTTCTCCCTTCTTCCTTCATTCCCCTGTTACTTTTCTTGTTTCCCTTTTCCCACAATAGCCCCCACCTGGACATGTACCACTGTTCCAATTGCACGCATGCTGGCTACTTGGCGCCCTGTCATTTAGGATCTGGGTTTAGTTCACCCTGGGGTAGAAATAAGGAAGCTTTTAGGTAACAGGGAGAGAATGTTAGCATGAGCGCACACACACTTTCAATTTGTTATCACAACACAGGTGCACAGAAGATGACTGCTGCAAAGGGTCATACCGACAGTGTTGCCAATAGGCTGGGTTCTTGTGCTCCAGCAATGGAGGAACAACCACTGACACACATGAGGTCAGCAAGCTCAGGTTTATTGTGAGCAAGACTCCTGGCCGCAGGAGGGAGTCCAATGGAGAAGCCCGTCACTGAGGGGGTAGGCTCCCTTTGTTTAGGCACTCTTGAGGACTCTCTACTGTTCTTAAGAACTCCCCAGGGGCTTTTTTCTGCTTTGGGGTACTTTTCCACTGCCCTGCTGTAGTACCAGGATGGCCACAGTGCAGGATCTCTATGATTCAAGCAGATGGAATAAAGGAGAGTCCTGGAGTCCTTGGTGGCTTTCTCAGGCTTTTATTGAGCGTTTACATTTAGTGCAGTAACCAGGTGCACAGCAGGCAGGGGTGTTGGGGGACCAGGAGTCTGGCAGGCCGGCAAGACCCTGGCGTGTCTCCACCCTGGGCTACTTTCTCCCCTTCTCCCTCTCCTGCCTCTTCTCCCTCTTCTGCTTCTGTTAGAGAATATCTCATACTGCTCCCATGTCCCTCAGAAGTAAACAACATAACTTACAACAATGTAACAACTGCAGGTGCCCCATCAAGCAGGGCAATCCTAATGGTGCCAGCACAGAAAAGCCTGAAAACCATTCACACTACACCTGCTTTGCCTCATTGTCCCCCTTTGTCACCCAGAGGTGTGAAGTGACTGCCAGCTCTTCTTTCCCTACACCCCTCTGTAGCTGCCTGCTCCTGCCTGCCATCTTGTGGCTATCAGCCTTTGCCTGCTAGCCCCCTGCTCTTTCATCAGGGAAGAACTTCATACTTAGATCAGAGGACCTGGTCTCCATTCTCCCTTCCGGAGTACCCCCTGACAGAGTGCTCCCCACAATTCTTTCATTTTCTCACACCTTGAGTTGTGCTATTGCAACATGTTCCTGGGAAGATGGTGTCTACATGGACGCACTGAGCATCTCTGGGTCTTCAGTGAAGTGTCCCCCAATAGTACAAAGTGGTGATTTCTCTTTTTTCACCTCAGTCTATGTCGAACATGTCCTGACAGCTCCTTTGGGACGTAGTTTCAGTTCAAGTCTGGAAACCAGGTTATAAGCGCCTTTGAGGAACATCATTCAGACTTTTATTCTCAGCATCCAGAACACTCCAGATACAAGGGGAGTTGCGAAGGTGCTTCTCAGAACTAATGTGTCAACACAGAGGGAAGTCCCTACTGCAGAGCCTCTGTCTTAGAACTCAGAGGGCAGAGGTGGTGCATCCTGTGAGAGGGCAGTGATACCAGAGTGAGCGCAGAGGCTTCTCTTCTAGTCCTTGAATCGAGGTTGGATGTGCCATTATAGGGGATGGTGTCATTCAAGCATGTGGCTGTGATCTTCACCGGGGAGGAGTGGCTGGCCCTGGACGAGGCCCAGAAGACCTTATACCAAGACCTACAGCAGCCTGCCAACTCTGGGTGAGCAGAGCCCCTTAAACAGCCCGGGACTGGCTCCTTGTCTTCACTGGTAAATGCACAACCCCTTAGGACATTAATGCTGTTTAGGTTTAAGAAGGGGGTGTTCACAACTCTAACCCAAGGTTCTCACTTACCCTTAAAGCTGTCATTCTTCAAAGACTGAAACTGGAGCCATTTGGTGAAAGGCCACTATTATTTCTTGTTAACAGGACATTTCATTAATAAGCCAGAAGTGATCATCAGGTTGGAGCAGGAAGCAGAGCTGTGGACCATAGAAGAACCCCCAGACCAGAGCCTCTCAGGTCAGTCAGTGGGTCCCGGGCTGGGAGGCTGGGAGGAGGGGAGCCCGGTGCATGCTGGTTGTACCGAGCCGTTCCCACATGCAGACCGTGGGACCGTGAGTCCACAAGTGTCAGACTCATTCATTGCTCAGTCTCCAAAATGGCCCTCATTGTAAATCTCCCCCAACTTTCTTAGCAGCTGTCAGTTTTCTTAGATGTTGCCAATATCCAGTCCCTTACTGACCGCTTGGACTTTTTCTGGTACAGTCATGTTCTCTGGTGACTCTGCTTTCTCCCTTCTCATGGGCTGCTTCCTCTCGGACATTTATTCCCACGTTTGTTTCTTCTTTTGGCATGTTGGTGACAAGTTTAGACAGTGGTACATTTTATAGTTGAAATGTCCTTTATCTTATGGAACCTATATTCTGCTGAGGTAGACAAAGGAAGAAAAGACACAAGTTGAATTGTAAGATGAGAGCCATGAAGAAAACGTAACCAGGAAGAGAAAAGAAGGGATGCCATTGTTTGAAAATAGACATCTGTGGCACAGTCTGGTCACCAAGAGCAAAACATCAATGGAGGAGGCAGCTGCCTTAGGAAAAAGTATACAGTTGAACTCAGCTGATCATTTGACCCTGACTGTGAATAATGGAGGCTATTCAGGAAGGAGACTTGCGGGTTTTCATGTAAGTAAGAACTGTGTCCTGATGAGAACCTGGGAATCCTGATGAGAACCTGGAGCTCCTGATGAGACAGGCACTGGAGTGAAAGCTGAGGGCCCCTATACAACCGGGAGAGCTGTCAGGTGTCCAGAGTATCCTGGGCATCATCAGAGGCAAACTTATCAGCTGCCTTTAGAATTTAGTGAACAAGGAAAACTGTCAACAAAGAGACAATCTCCACTCCTCATGGAACGGCTCTTCATGGTGAGTCTGCCTGTAAATACAAGTGTAGGAAAAGTTGCAATAAGGCAGCTCTTACTGTCCAAGATGAAACTCAAATTGGGCAGATTCACTGGACATGTCATTAATGGGGGAATCCTGCTTTTGAGAATCAGAAACAGTTGAATCCTCATAAAGGTTTTGAAGATGAACATCAGAAATGTAATCAAAGTGAGGATTATTTCAGCAAGGAATTCCACTCTATTCTGCTCCAGAGAATTCCTTTAGAAGAAAAAAATTTTGAATCTAATACATGTGCTAATCCTTTCTATGAAATCTCCGTTCTTAGTAATTGTCAGGAAATACAAACAGGTGATAAACCCTTTGAATATAGGAAAACCGCTGAGAAATCAATGCTCAAAATATACCAGGAAACTGTCACTTCAGCGAAACCCTGTGAGAATAAAGAATACATGAGAATTTTCTCCTGGAATTCAACCCTTACTGTACATCAGCAGTCTCACACAGGAGAGAAACCCTACGAATGTCAAGAATGTAGGACAACTTTCTTGTGGAAGAGATCCCTCATCATGCATCAGAGAACGCATAGTGGAGAGACACCCTATGTGAGTAAACTATGTAGGAAATATTTCTCCAGCAATTCAGCCCTCATTAAACATCAGGGAATACACACAGGAGAGAGACCTTAGGAATGTCAAGAGTATAGGAGAGGGGCCTCCCTGGTGGTGCAAGGGTTAAGCACAGCACTGTGAAGCTGTTCGCAGACTCTGCAGTGCAAGTTCGATCCCTGACTGGCCAGGGAGCTACCTACATGGCACAGGGAGCTCTCCCGTCTCACCCACTGCTCCTCTCAGCAGTGGAGTTCAGTCAGTCTGCCTGTTCTACTCCCCACTCTGTCTCTGGGTCCTCTCATTCCCCACACCTCTGGCCTGTGCTCCAGTTCTTGTATGCATAAATAAATAAATCTTTTTTAAAAAAAAGAGTATAGGAGAGTTTTCTTGAGAAGGCATCCCTCATCATCCATCAGAGGACACACACTGGAGAGAAACCCCATGAATGTGAAATGTGTAGGAAAACTTTCTCCTGCAAGTCAGACTTCACTAAACGTCAGCAAATTCACACAGAAGAGAAACCTTATGAATGTCAAGAGTGTTGGAAAGATTTCTTGTGGAAAGTAGCCCTCACTAAACATCAGTGGACTCACACAGGAGAGAAGCCCTATGAGTGTCAAGAGTGTAAGAAAACTTTCTACTGGAAGTCTTCCTTCACTGTGCATCAGAGAACTCACACAGGACAGAAACCAGGAATGTCAAGAGTGCAAGAAAACTTTCCTGAAAGTCAGAGAACTCACACAGGAGAGAACCTCTATGAATGTAGATGACTGTCTAGAGTGCAGTAAAATTTTCTACCAGAAATCAGCTTTTACTCAACATCAGAGAACACACACTGGAGAAAAACCTTATGAATATCAAGAGTGCAGCAAAGCTTTCTATTGGAAGGCATCCCTCGTCCTCCATCAGAGAACACACACTGGAGAGAAGCCCCATGAATGTAAACAATGTAGGAAACATTTCTCCTGCAAGTCAGCCCTTAATAAACATCAGAGAATTCACAGGAAAGAACCCCTGTGCATACAAAGAGTGCAGGAAAGTATTCTCAGAAGTCAGGCCTTGTTTATGCATCAGAAACTTGCACTAAAAAGAAAGTGAATATAAACAATTGAGGAAAACTTTCTCACCAAAGTCGGCGATCACTGTACACTGGAGAAAACTTCTGAATGTAAAGACTGCAGGAAAAGTTTCTACTAGAAATCAGCTGTCCATCATTATCCAAGAAGTCACACGGGAGGATGCTTCCATTGGGCAGAGACTGAGGATATATTCACCAAAACACACTTTTTTCTGTTGGGCAAAAATTTTGCATTTCAGTATCCCTTTACTCCTAAAGAGCGAGTCAGCACAAGTTCAACACATCATTCCAAAGCCATGTGCATTCGTGCCCGCTCTTTCATGCCCCGAGTTCCCACCTCCTCGGTTGGTCATGAGAGCCAGAGGGTGAAGATAGTAACATGATTTAAAGCAAGAATTGGTTGGGGAGAGCATTTTCCCAACAGTCCCCATTTGTACTTAGAAAAAGTACAAGACTGAGAAATACTTCTGCTGAAACTCCTGTGATTTTTGACAGCACTACCAGTCCATTTTAGCCAGTCCACAGTTTTTCACTGTAAAATGTGAGCAATCTTTGTGTCCAAAATGCACACAGGAAGGAATCCTTGTTGTCATCTTTCATCTTTGGTTGATGGAGAAACCCAGGTGATAGAAAGAACAAAGAATGCAGCCAACGGAGAGTTGTCCACGTGCAGAGACTGCTCTTTGAATATTCACAACAAACTAAAACTTTAGAGATAGGGTTTTTTTTAATATTTATTTATTTATGCATACTAGGGCTGAGGTGTAGGCTTGAGGTGTGTGTGAGGGGTATGTGTGTGAGAGGACTCACCAGAGACAGAGTAGGGAGCAAAACAGGTGAGTTGACTGAAATACACTGCTGAGGGGAGCAGTGGACGAGACAGGAGAGGTCTGCTGCCCTGTATGTGAGTATCTCCCTGACCGGGAATTGAACTCAGGCTGCAGTGGCTGCTGATAGCTTCATAGTGCTGAGACTTAACCCCTTGCACCACCAGGGTGGCCCTAGGATAGGTTAATGTGTCTGGAAACAGTAGAAAAGTCAAATATAGACGGTGCCAGCAGTATCATTGCAAAACTTGCCCTTGCAGGTAAAATGGCCCAATATAGAAGCACTGGTTTGTAACCAGTATTTTCAAAAAGTTTTGAAGACAATACTTAGCGTTCTCAGCAGTTCCCTGACCTGCTCGACATACAGCGGCAAGATGAAGTGTTAACATCTGCGAAGCTATCTTCTAAATGGATCTGGGGTGCCATTGCAGAGAAATTGCATTATTTGTCTCATTTTAATCAGCCTAAAGGTTACCGAACTGGACCAGAGATCTTTGGGCCACATTTTCTTAATAAAAAATACATGTTTATTAAGAAACCATGAGGAAAACAATTGAGATGTCAGAGTTGTGAGAACTGATGACTGTGGACTTTTAGCCAGAGTGTAACGGGGTGTCCTCAGGAAAAGAGGACGGTCCAGGTTCCTGCCCCTTCCAAGGGAGGTAGAGCTGAGCAGGGAGGAGGAGAAGCTGGAGAGGAGACTGGGGAAGGAAGGAAGCAGGATGGGGAGCCAGAAGGAGACCTGGAGGAGGCACATGGAGCAGAGAGACACATGAAGAAGCTGCGCTTGCTTCTTGGTCCTGGACTGCTTGAAACAGACGTGGGTGAGAGACCGAGGGAGGTTAACAAATGGCAGCTTTGATCTTGATTCTGGGACAGAATCTTTACATTCCATTTTTATCCTTTCAAGAATAACTAACTTTACGAATAGCCAAGAATGGTTTGAGCTTGTTAAATCTTATTAACTCTTTAATCACTTACCTTTCTTCCTCCCGTGAACGCCCTGAGTTTCTTCTAGGACACAATTTAGGTTTCTCCTGAATCTGACATACACTGAAGTAGAAATGTTTGAATCCAAAATAAACAGGTTTTGGCTTTTAATGCACTCCTGGTTTTTTGGGTTAACTGTACAGAGATAAGATACCAGCAGACAGTCCCTTTAGGTGGGAGAGGGGTTGGGGTTCCTGGTCCTAGAGACTGGTTTTGGCAGAACCATCATTCCTCCCTGGCAGTCCTGGCAGTTCTTTCCAGAATGTTGCTCACTGTCATGCTCCCTTTTCTGCAAGAGGTGGTTAGATTTGTAACTAACCACATTTGTCCCTGACTGCTGGTTTGAGCAGTGATGTCCACTTCCAGGCAATCTTCTCAATAAATGTCACCAAAACTTTGGGAGGTGGGCGGTTTCTGACAACTTTCAAAACCGCATTATTGAAAGTATTTGAAAAAATTAGGCATGTCATGTGTGCATGGAGGGAACAGACTGCTCTCAAAGCGTCCACTAGGTACTGTGCAGTCATCACACTAACCTTAAGCACAAGGAGATCATAGGTTGTGTCATTCGATTGTCTTCCCCATCGGTGGGCAGAGCCAGGGGCAGACCTGG